GCTGGGTTATCTCAGGAAGTTCTTGACGTTGATTGAGTCACATTTCCCCGATCTGCGGTATCGCCTTACGCGTCCACAGTCGTCAATCCATTGTCGAACAATGGAGCCAGCGATGCCAAGGTCACTCAACGCCCTGACACCAACCCAAGCACGCAAACGAGATGCTTCTGAACTCGTCTACTGCGCGATGTCTCAGATTGTGATTCCCAACATGGATTTCGTATCAGCCACGGGCGTCAAGCTCCACGAGCATCGGCTCACCCTAGCGCCGGATGTCTTCGTCGCACGCTTTTTGTTACGAAGGACTTGACAGAGAACTCGTCAAGTTGCTTCGAAGCTCGCAAGCTCGAACTTGCGTAAGAACTCGTAGCAAATTTAGCCATCTAGCAAACTGCGACATCATGTAATGGCTCTGCTTTGCTTATATCACAAGTGGAATGATATATTCACACTCAGCACTCCTGGCTGGGTGTCAGGGCTGGCAACAAACCTGCCACACCATCGGGAATTTCTCGAGTCTGGGACGATGAGGACTAACGTAGCTCCGCCGAGCCCGTTTGCCGTCTGGAACGGCATTGGCCTAGTCTTGAGCGTCGGATGGAAGGGCAATGACCTAGTCTTGAGCGTCGGATGGGAAGTCGTGCCCGGGTATTACCCTAGGGTTTCTCCCATGCGGTGGGCTTAAAATTAACGGCACCGGACGCGCCGAAAATAGTTTTAAAACGCACGGCAAGGGTACGACATCTGCATGTCATCCATCCGATGTTTTCCTGCAAGTTGTTCGTTTGCATTACACCGACAAACATAAAAGTAAGTTGGTAACATCAAGGTCCCAACAAGGCCTTGGTCTCACCAGAATCTTACCCAGGGCAGGAGCACGTCCCGGGTTTAGCGGTGAACGAAAGCAGCGCGCTTCAACACGCAATGGTAACGTTGCCTTAGCGATGGTTGTCGACACCGTTGGTGGAATTTCTGAACGTCATCCATACTTATTTCCACACAAAACTTTTGGAATCAACAAAAGACAAGAGCATTGCAACACGAAAGCTGAGCATGTCTTGGTGTCAAGTTTTTGCTTAGAAAAATAAGTTTGGGGATGTATTGATAGCGTTCGATACTCAACTGTATTACACAATTTGTCAAATGGCCTACAAAGCTTGTTGCAAAAGTAACCGTTTGGCGCCATGCTGGTACGTGGCTGCCCGGATGCAAAAAATGAGCGCCCTATTGCGTGTTTTTATGTACATTGACACTGTTCAGGCACCACTGATCTATCAATAACCCATAACTCTCACAGTCTCCAGAGACCTTGCATCCCACTAATGGGAGGCTTTGCTTTGCTTGGCTAACTTTGCATCCCATCGGTACAGCGCAACGAGGCCTCAAAAGCCTATTCTTATGTTTTTTTGCACGGGTTTGTTTCGGCGTTTCCACGGTTCAGGTCATTGCGCTGGGAATGCCAGATGCGGTATAGGCCACCCCGTCCACAGAGTGCGTGCCGGCATCGCTCTGCCCGATGCAGGAGCGGCGCCCGATGCAGGAGCAGTGCCCGATGCAGGAGCGGTGCCGCTCAGCGCTGGCCGGCGGCCGTTGCCCAGCATGTGGCACTGCTGTCGCCAGCCGCTGTGGGAGACCGTCGGTGGTAACATTCCGTCTCCTTCGGGCGGCTTGCTGCCGACGGGCGACCATCGACTGGCACAGAAGCGCCCTCAGAAACAAAGAAGCACAGAAGCGCCCTCGCTGCACGTCGCCCATTGCAGGAGCGGTGCCGTTTGGCGCGGTGGGCGGCCGTCGCCCGGCAAACGGCCGTTATGTCAAGCTGGCATTGTGAACGCAACTTTGCCATGATGGTAAACTTACCTCCGTAAGGCTCGATTCGACGTAACGTGGTCGTTGCAAGCACGATGCGCGGTTGGTTGGATCAACACGCGCTTGCCAGATCACTATCGGGGATTAGCCACTGTTTACGTGGCAAACAAACATCACTGTTTATGTGGCGTTTGTGAGTGGGGCAATTTTGTCCCGCACAAGCGTGAAGTGGGGAACTAATTGTTATACCTTGTATTTACGAACGCGCCATTAAATGGCTTCATAAAAGCAATTGCGAGAATTGCTAGGATGAAACTTCTCGTCTCGTAGACGCGGGTCTTGCTTAATGTTTGTGAGGGTCCTGCATCCCCTTTGTTGAGTTACTCCAATGTTGGCTTGGCTGCCTCAATATTTTTGACTCAAATATTACGAAGGTGTAGTCGGAAGTTGGCTATCACACAACACACCTTCCTCGTTCCTTCCGCGCAGTCACCTTGCCATGGGAGCGGGGGGGGGGGAGGTGCGGAGAGCCACCTTGACCCCCGAGACCCAAAAGTTGTTTCCTCAAATAACTGCCATGCCTGTGAACTTCAGAATATCAGGGTAAGTCACTCGATAATTGAATATTTGCTTTGCCACTAAACGTAACCCCATACGTTTCCTCTTACTCAAACGCGATATCGACGCCACTGCTTCACCAGTCTTGTGGAGACTCTCTCATGACAACTCACATTTTGCTGCTGCCCGTGGTGGGCTGCAAACCAAACATTGCTTTCCTTCAGACGTGAACTTCTTTGCTGGCATGCCTCACGGGAAAACAAAATCGGGTAGCCTTTTTCCGCACAGGGGGGAGGGGGGCGTCGTTGGTTCAGCTTTCAGGTCCAGTTAAGACACAAATTGAGAAACAATATAGAAGCGAAAATTTTGCTGGGACCGGTTTTGGATAGCACTCTGTGCTTAACAGCACTTATTACAGCACTAGCACTTTAAGCCCACACCCAATGATTGTACTGCAAGTTCAGCGGAACCATTTTGTCTCGGGTCCATATCCAAATAGCACCCAAATACCTTATCGTTCCACACCCAGCAAAGGCGACTTCCGGCCACCAAGCACCCGGCCGACGCCATCAAGCCGGGGGCCAAATGGCTCTATCTGACCTGTCATATTCGAACATGGCAAGCGAACACACCACCACACATTTCGCCACATCACAAGTGTGGTCAGCATAACTACAGCGTTAGGTTTTAGCAGCGCCGGTTGACGTGTCTGCACGGCAATGCACGTTATCTTTGCGAGTATTTTAGGTATTGCAGTCAACCTGTTGGCAGAACGGTGACGTTTCCAAACTGCCACTTTTCCAACTATTTTGGCGAAAAGATATCACGTGTGACCTAGAAAGAAGTCCGCACATTTGAAGGAGTATTCCACGTTTGTATGGGGTTTCGAGTTCATTTAGCTATCTTCAAGATCAACCAATGGACTTCACGACCCTGCCCGTCTTACATTCAATGCACTTGGTAACCCTACCCATCTTAAGACCTAGAAGCTTAAGTTTCTAAACTACATACCCCCAAAGATGTGCAGATTATTTCATAGAGACGATTTCTAGCTCACCCAGGCATCCGTGACGTCATAATAACGCCATTCACAGTCTGCCATTCCATTAGCCACGTGGCGATCAAGGCCAAGAAAAATAAAATTGAATCGTTCAAATATGGCGTTCGTGAGCACGATTTTCAGATATAACGGCCGTTAATTGGCTCTCAAGCAATGCTGAACAGGGTACAATGACGCAATCAAGTAATGACGTCATGAAGAACATATTAACTAGATAAAAAGTTATGTTGTCTTAAGCAGTCTTTTCATTAAAAATTATACTTATAGCTATACGTAAAGTCATTTCATTTGACGCTTGCTTCGAATATGTTCAGATGTGGAACGTTCTCTCTAAAGGAAAGCAACATCCCAACGCCACGCACCATCACAAAAGCATCTCAACGCCAGCCGTGTCTGCTCCCCGCCCCCCCCCCCCCCCCCCCTCTTCCTCTACTCGGCCACGCGGTGTTGCCAAAAGCCGTTGCCACACAACTGGCGACCAACGACCGGTGACCGACGTGGCCAGCCAAGGCCCACCAGCCAGCCGAACGTGCGAAGAATCAGTTGCGGTGGCACACCAAGTCGCTGTCGCTCGTAGGAAACCGTAGCGATGCAGCAACAAAAAACGCCCGAGTAAATCCTGTAAATCCTGTAAGTCGCCAGGATCGGCTGAGACTATCAGTGTTGTTGAGTAGGGCCACGCCTTACAGGATATTGTAACGGCGTCGTTAGATTCTTTGCACTTTGTGCGTGGTCGAATGCTATCGGGTACGGCTGATTTTTTTGCTCTTTTGCGTGCTAGTATGATATCTGCTTATTAACGTTTTTGTTTCATGCCGGCAGTACCGTCCGAATGGCATCCATCAACGAATCTACATCAGTCGGCTTTCTCATGCCACAGCTAATGTGTAATAAAACTGAACACCATTGTACTCAGAATTGAACAAGAAACACGCCTTTTAGATTAAGTGTGTTGCATTTTTCGGGGAAATATAACCATTGACCTGCCATAATGAGATGAACTACTTACTAAGCAACACGCTAAGTACTGCTAATCGCGGAATCTCGTTGATCCCAGACTGCTGCTGTTGTTGTGTTTTTTGTTGTTGTTTTTTTTGATACGCTACCTTTCTTAGTTAGGAAACGTTAGGATGGTCGCATCCACCTTATCAGTAAAAAACCCGAAATCAGAGCGAGGGTCAAGCTATTAAATTGTCAGTCCGGCTTTGGTCATAACTCGTGCCATTACCCTAATCCCTG